GTTGAATGAGTTGTGTGTTAAAGATTTAGGGGAAAATATGCGAAACGGGTAGATGAACGGAAGATACGGTCTCTAGTACACAATACAGCCCTATCTCAGTGCCCCCTGGCAGTGTGGAATGGAACTTGGCTGATCACGTGATCCCCCTTTGTTCGGTGTAGCGGGTAATGAACTAGACCGCTGGGCTCAGCTGTGATCAACACACAGAAATGTTTATTGAGAAAATATCAAGTAATTTCTAAACAGTATAATCTAAGCTTTATCCCCACACAAACAGACAGACATACATTTACACACCTGTAAACAATAAAATTTGATGTTTTGCAAAAAAAGAAAAAAACTTGCAATTTGAATTTATTTTCTTAAACAACATAATTTGATCGATGATTTTTCAAAAAATATATCATGTGATTATTTTGGGCGCAAAATTATAATTGCATGTTTCATTACAATTCAAATATTTGAGAAACTTAAATCAATTGATTTAAGCTGAATAGAGAGTACCCCTCTCATATTTACCCTTCTTCTTTTCTTTTATTTCTGATCCCCCCCTCTCCCCTCCTCCCCCCACCCTCTCTCTGATCTGGATACATATTATATATATATTGTTTTGTATATATTATATTGTATATTGTTCGATGTAAGTCTGCAAATCTTTATTAAAGCTCTATCTCGACTATCTATCTATTAATCTATCTATTAATATATCTATCTAAGTCTTGTTCTAATTCCTTTTATTGATTGGGGTATAAGTTGCAAACTAAACCCTAAACTATATTTTAAATAATAATTCTTATTAAATTAAAACTACTATCTACTAAATTGGAAAATATATTTATTCTCTATTTATCTATTTATCTAATTGGATTAATTTGCAAAGTCTATCCGGGAAACCGTCTATTTTACTTCTGTGTGCCTTAAAAGTATCTATTCTATCTATCTATTTATCTATCTATCTATCTATCTATCTATCTATCTATCTAATTGCATTCCCCTATTTTGTAACCTACCTTCCTTTTCAAAAGTAACCCTCTACTCCTCCATCTTCCTAAACCTTACCCCTCATTAATAAGTATACCCCTCCCCAAACCTCTCTTACTTCAAGACACCCTTCTTATACCTCTGCCCTCAAAAACTTACCTCTTGCTACCAAACCTCGGCCCTCCTACCTCTCTAACCTATTCTACTTTTCCAAAAAAATAGTAAATCTCCTAACCTCTGAAAAATAATTCTAACTCTTGCTATTTAATCTACTATTCTCTAATCTTTCTTACTTCGGGGGCACTAATAAACTTACCCTCTTCTAACATAAAACCTCTCTCTTACTATTAAACCAACCTATACCTTGTCTACCCTCTCTCAACTCTTAAGTAGAGGAATCTAAATATACCTCTTTCCACCTCTTCCAAAAAACTGGCCTCTTCTGACATTTCCCTAATAAAATTCCCCCCCCCCTCTCTACCCTCCCCTCTCTCCCCGACATCTCCCTAAAAATCGTCCCTTCCTATATGCTCCTAACCTGCAAGCTATGAACAAAATTATACTATCTAAGATATACAGAGCGTCCCATATCATATTGGAGTATAACTTTAACGGCAAATCTACAAAGAATACTCAAAATACCTTGAATTTTCGGTATCCAACTTGATATATTTGCCTTTTACAATTTTTTAAACTGTTCTGTGAAGTTTCTAAAATCCAAATTTAGAACTTTGCCCCATCTTTATGATGTGGGACACCCTGTAGGTTCGCGAACCATGTTTGCCAGTTACACAATGTTTTATTCATTTGAAACCTATATCTTGATAATATATTCAGGCCATAGGTTCCTGACAACATATATAAACTTTTTTGATAATACATTCAGTTTCATAGGTTCCTAACAACATATATATATATATATAAACCTATCTTGATAATATATTCAGGTTCATAGGTTCCTGACAACATATATACATCAACCTATCTTGATAATACATTCAGGTTCATAGGTTCCTGACACCATATATACATATAAACCTATCTTGATAATATATTCAGGTTCATAGGTTCCTTACACCATATATACATATAAACCTATCTTGATAATATATTCAGGTTATAGGTTCCTGACAACATATATAAACCTATTTGATAATACATTCAGGTTCATAGGTTCCTGACACCATATATACATATAAACCTATCTTGATATCCCATTCATATTCTCATCCCATCCATATTCTCATCCTTCCAGAACCATTCCATCCAAATACTCGCTCCATCGCCTCTCAGGCGCGCCCCCATTCGACCCATTTCTAACTTTCTCATCCCCTTCTTTTTTCTTTAACACTCAGCCAATCCCTTCGGACAATGGGTTAAATCCATATTAAGCCTTCGAAGGTGGTGGGTTGGGATTGGGGGGGGGCTCAAAACATTAAGAGTGGGGGGGGGGGCTTAGTCCCTTCAAACTCCCCTCCTTTATTGATTACAGGGAAATCACATGCCGCAGCCGTCTCACTGCTATCAATACCCGCCCCCCCCCTCTCCCCCCTGCAACCCAACATTGGCCCCTTTTTTCGACCCTTCGATACCCTTAAGTGCCCCTTGTAAAAATTCATGAATTCATTAAATTGTATGATCTGTAAATTATTTCTAACCAACCGAACCTTTTTATGACATAACCTCTGCAAAATATCACCCAGTAACTAGAAGAAATTATAAATCACCTAAAAATATAATTTTCTGATTCCCAAATATTCCAATTGTTGTGAATGAATAGGTTTTAAATATCAAAGTTCTACGAGGACGACATCAAATTGCGAAGATTAAAAAAACTGAAAATTTTGAGTTTTAAGCGGGTAATTAATTTCTCTACAATTCCCACCTCCTGTTTCGAAAACTCTTTAGTTACGCCAAAAGCTTGTACTATTTTATAACAATTGTAAAAATGCAAAAATTGATTTTTTAAAAATTAATTTGTTTTATAATTTGATATATTTGCAGATGAAAGTAAGTTTTGCAGAACCGCATGCTATAAATGTGTATTATAATATTTTCAAAACCAGAAAATTAATTTAAAATCCACATAATTATAATATAATTGTTGAAACTTATATACAAAAATATTCATAATTAATGGATAAAGCAGTGTAAGTTTACTAGAGGTGAGAGGGATAGAATTTGTGTGCACATTTTATTGTGTCGAATTTGAACTGCAAGAAACAGTTTTGTAAATAAATAAGAAAGATTGTAAACAATTTGATTTTATTAGAATTGTACAATGAAATAAGTAAAAAGAAAACAGTTTACAGGAATCCATCATATTTTTTCCATCATTTCTCTCAGTAAAATATATTATAGTTAAAACATATAAGTGAAAAAGTAAATATTGACAAAAATTGAAATTTTGAAATTATACAATTTAAGAAAATTATGTTCTTGTTTTAATCTTTAAAATATAACAGGAATATATCATAATCAGAAATAAACCAAAATTCGTTTATCATCAATAAAATATTTGTTAAGAAATAATATTTCAGTTTAAATGAAAAGCTAAATAATTTACTTGATTGATTGATATGTTTCAAACTCTTTTAACTCAACATTTAAAGTCGTTCAATTACACTTTTAATATCCTTTGATAAATACTTGTGTCACGTCAAAATAACGTAAACTGCAAAGAAAGAATGAAAAATTAGATGTTTTATAACTCCTCTTATTGAAGAACTAAGATGTTTTGAATTTCTAATATTTAATCGGTTAAATTTGCTTTCTCATACTTGAGTATCTACAGTGAAACCCTTAATAACGAATACATAGAAAGAATTCATCAAATGTCGTATTCTTCACTTTCTGATAATGGAATGTTGCAGATATTTAGTTTTTTAATTGAATGATTATATGGAACTCTTTAAAACTGTTCCAGCATATTCATGGCTATTTATTTATTTTCGCAAATACTGAAATTTACGTAATATAGTATAAAACTCGTTGAAAAATTGTCAAGACGACATTTGATAAATTCTTCCGATGTATTCGTTATTACGGGTTTCACTGTAAGAGGTCATGAAGTTGTACTAGTCATTCTCCTTTTGTCTGGTTTGCAGTGGGGCTCTCATTCAAAATTAAATTTAATTATTTGTCCTTAGTCTCTGTAAATCAAAATGAAGGTGTGCTCATCATGTAAAAATGGTTAGTTTGTCTCAATCTAGATCCTCATTAAAGGGAGTGACCGGCAATGTATTGAAGTTGAACTGAGAATGTAGTATTTTGGAGAATTTTTTAGGGATCATTTGAGACGTATAAAACGTTTTGATGATGTATAACTTCTGAGTTTGAGCGCAAAGTCGACTTTCAAAATCATAAATTTGTGTGGTTACGTTTAGAGAATTAATTTGTTAAAATTATTAAATATCGACAACACAAAATGTAACAAATATTCTACAGTAAACGAATTAACTGTTTAGGAACAGATTAAGAAAATAAAAATTAACCCTTATTTTCGAAAATAAGTAATCTTTCTTAGTTGTTAGTTTCGTTACGTCTCATTGTTCACAAACATTTTCTGGAATTTTTATTGTAAAGACGACATTTTCAGAGTTTGTGGTAATCTGCGAACAAATTTGTAAAGAGTAAGAAACTCAATATAACGATGAAAAAAATAATTGATTTTTAACATTGACTTATTTACAAAAATTCTGTCGAGAAATATGTTCCTGAACTTCTAAATATTTTATTGTATTATTTTTGATACATTTTTCGCTGTAGTTATGTAATAAACGTAACCACCCAAAAACAACCCCCCCCCCCCCAACAAAAAAATAGGCTACCAACTTTTTTTATTATATTCGTTTTTGTTATAATCGGCAAACACAAGTTTTCTTAACGCTCGACTTTCGAAAAAAGCGTCTGTCAATTTTTATCATTCGCGAAAATTCATGATTTATGAGATGGAACATTGTTTCTAACAAATTTCCATTCCAGTTAGATTTCTCTCTCTCTCGATTAGAATTACAAGCTATCAAGACAGTATTATATTTCTTTAATGTCGTTTAACACAGAAAATAACGTAACGATTAGTCATGTTGAATCATTACGTATATATAGATTGGTAAATATAATATCATTTTAACCATTTCTATCCTCGAATTCTTCAACTCGAAAATTGTACTCTGAAACATTGGCACATATAAAAAAATCGAGTACTTTGAAATGCACAAAAAGAAAGACCCAAAGAACAGCGTTTACGGAAATTAGGGCAAAAATTGCGCGTTCAGCTAAACATTTGTACACAGCGTGTATGATAAAATCTTGAACAGGAAATATAGAATTGCATTTTAAAACATAAAAAAGGAGGAAAGTACGGGCTTAGGGGAAAGGTAGACATTTAGTTTTCTGTTTAGTTTTTGAAAAGGGGCAAGAAATAGGATTATGAAATCAAGTAAGCGGAAAAGAAGAATTATTAGGGACCGAGTTAACAGGAGAAAAGAAAATGGGTAACATTGTATGATGTGTTAATATGTTGTTTCACTTTGTTTATAAAATATCTTTGAGAGTTTATTGATACTCCTTGTTCTCTATAAAGTGGATAAATTAAACCCTGAAGATTAACAAGCTTAATGTCAAGATCACCTCCAGTGTTCTTAATACAACCTTACTTAAACCCCTCTAGAATCCACCTCACCGTTAAATCAGGTTTAGTAAATAACTTCATACACAGTCGCCTTCTTATCTCCTGACCCTGTCACAATATACTTGTCGTCGTTGCTGATGTCGCAACTCAGGACTGAGGAGGTTTCTTTGGAGACAAATATAGAAGCTCCGTAGGGAGTTCTCCAGGAGTTAAGAAGATTGTCTTTTCCAGTTGAAACAAACCATTTGCCGTTGTTTGCAAACTTGAGAGAGAGAACACAGCTTTCATGCAGATGAAGCTGATATTTATCTGGTTTAGAACAATGAAGAACTTCAACATTAGAGTTTTCCATACCAACAGCTAACCAGTCTCCGGTTGGACAATAACCAAGACAGAATATCTGAGAACTAAAATCATGTTGTTGTAGTTGTCTTCCTTCCCGGAGATCCCAGGAACGTACAGTGTTATCCAAACCTCCCGTCCATAGCTTAGTTCCATCTGCAGATATATCTATACAGCTGGCTCCGTCCGTATGTCCCTGGAACTGTCTAATCTGAGTTTGATTGTGAAGATCCCAGACAGCGATGTTACCATCACTGCAACAGCTAAAACAGACCTTGGAGTCGGGACTGATGGCAAGGGCGTAGCAGGCCGGGGCGGAGCTTGGCATCTCCGCCTTGATTCTAGGAGTAGGAGCTGCTAGATCCCAGATAGATAGATTACTTGCTTCTCCTCCCACCACCAGGGTTCGTCCGTCAGGTAAAAGTTTAATGGAACGAATATAATTCTCTCTCTGTAGACAGTCTAACTGACTAATAGGAGTCTTATTAGAAGGTTGGGTTATATCCCAAACCTTAACACAACCTTTCCCCCCTGTATACACAAACTTAGTAGGGTTCGACATGGTTACTGCGCACACAACTTCACCGTGCGCCAAGGTATTGATTTGCCGCGCGTGGCGAGGAATTCCCTGCGCTGTGAGCGCATCATGAGGGAAACTGACCGGCTGCAGCTGGTTGTCTGCACCGACATGAAATGAGTAGGATCTGAAAAAAAATATATTTAAAAAATATAAGATAAACCATTAAAAACAGCTGGCTTTGCAAAAAGTGTCAGAACTAATACTTAAATATCATTTGTTCCTTATTCTATAAGAAAAAAGACAACTTTCATTCAAAGACTTCCTCCTCCGAGAAATTCAATTCCACAATCTTAGATCTTGATGTTGAAATAAATAAAATAAATTCCGAAGAATTGTATTCACATTACATATTCTGAAAGAGATGTGGATTGCAGAACGTATAAAACTTTAAAATTGAAATTTGTATTTATCAGAAGAGGAAAAATCTTATTTTCTTAAAGCTTCAAATAATGAGAATGAGCAAATCTACGAAAATACTTACGGTTTTCCTGATGGGCCAGTAAGTCCTGCGCCGTTGGAGATTCCGTTAGATACGGGGACACGGGGGTTGGGGTGCGGGTCATGGCCCGCAGGGGGGCCTACAGGGGGAACCCCTGGTGGGCCGGCCTGAAATTACAAATTTTAAATATTTCACTTTAACATTCATAATTAAGCAGGCCAGGGTTTAACAATTTATTAAATATTTCCATTTACCACTTTAACACACTTAAAAAATTCTTAATTCGTATTTTTAATTTCTAATCTTCGACCATGTATTAATTGAAAGTAAAAATACCTATTTTATGTGAGAAAGTTAAAAGATTATATTGAAAAGTTTAAATTAAGCTTCTGACGAAAATAGGAGGAAATTGGAAAACTTTGAAATAATTTAAGAATTCAAATTAATTTAAATCTTGAACTTACCAGTGGAGGTCTAGGGTAGCCAGGACCTAAAGGGGCTCCAGGTGGGTATCCTAGAGGGTCACCAGGAGGCCGACCCCCTAGTCCAGGGTAAGGATAAGGTCCAGCGCCAGGTAATTGAGGACCATGAGGAGGTCCACGGGGAGGAGTTGGAGCTTTCTGTCCCGGAGCGAGATCATTAGGAGTTGCAGGTTTGGATCCAGGAGTTCCTGGTTTTTCCAGGTCCTTCTGCTTCAAGGAGGGAGTAGATCTAGACGATGAGGACATATTCGAGGGAGGACGATCTCTCCGGTCCGCGTTCCCGTTCTCTCCTCCCCTGTGGTCGCCGTTCATCTGTCGACCAGATTCGTCCTCGTTACCAACATCGACGACAAGGTCGCCGTCTGATTTGTCACCACTGTCAGACTCCTGAAACATAAATAATTAAATAAAGACACTCAGTTTCATTACTTTTCCCTAGTATGTAAATCTTGAAACTTGACAAAGAATAGGTATCATTACATGGAAGGAATTGGGAATTTAGGTAGTCAAAGGGTTCACATGGCAGGGAAAAGGGGGAAATGGAAAAGGGGGGAAGGTAAATGGAAGCGGGGAGGGAGAAAAATTAAAGAGAATGGAAAAGGAAGGGTGGGAAAATGGACCGGGAAAGGGGATACGAAGAGGGAGTAAAATAAGGTTTTAAAGGATGTAAATAAAAGTTTTCTATTTCTTTACCCTTGCTCATACAATTGTTTAATGGGTACATGTCACCCTTTAAATAAAGGATGCCTTGAAATTAAGTTTACAGTCCCTTTAAAGATTAACAGGATGAAATTGAAGATTTGTCGACCTCAAGTATTCATCATAAACCTTACATAAACGTTACAACCTTCATTAATTCAGGGGAGAAAGAAGGGGGATATATATTAAAGAGGGAATTAAAACTTAGTTTAAATACAATTACCCCCTTCAAACTAAATGATGTTGGATAAATAAAAGAATAATATTTCCTGCCGTAGAACCAGTGTTTACATTTCCTGCACGGTAAACAGTTTATGTCAACAAAGTGTTCCCCCCCTTGCATACCTTAAAGACAGGGGGGGGGGGGCTGCCTGATAAATGTTGAGTAGTTCTAGAGCACTTTACTGAGGGGGTTTGGAAATTGTATTTAAAAGCAAATCCTAAATTCCAGATCATCTATCTTTACATATTAGCATACTGTGACAGAACTTTTTATCAATTAATCCAAGATTTAAAAGAATCTGAATGCGAGGAAAAAGTTAGAATGTCCCAACGGACTCAAATTCTCCATAGATAGAAATATTTTTCCACTTACATGTCCAGATTTTCTGATGTCTTCGGTTTTCAATCGCTTTGCCGCAATTTCATCATTAGGTGTAGATGCTCGGATTGGGGATCGCGCTGAGATCGGTGAGCGCGGTCGGTGAATATCTCTTGGATCGCGCATATCTCTAAAATCGCCGTAATTCCTAAAAACGATTCCATTTTAAAATATTTTTCCACGAGAATGAAGGACTGAAATAAAAATGAAAATTCCCCCGAATATTATAAAACCATCAAACAATTTATCTTTTCCTCGAGATTTATTATTTTTCTGTCTCAAAATATAAAATGATTTAACTCTGTTCCTTCTATTCTTCAAGGTTCTTCAACAGAATTAGAAACTCTTTAAAACCCCCCTAAAAATGTTCAGATTAAGCTTATCCTTTGTGTGTTCTTTTATAAATTTAGAAAACTTGTTTTCAGAATTAATTTTTTCTTTTATTTTTTGTAAAAAGTAAATATTCATAAAAGAAAATAGTTGTCAACTCAGGAGCCAAAATAAATAATAGAATTCTGATCATACATTTTATTTATTAAACATGTGTTATTTGTTATATTTTGAACTTATATTTTTTCTTTAAATATTTATGTTGTAAAATAAAAGAAAAAATAGTTTTTTTTTCTTCAAAGTTTGGCATATTCAGTTAACCTATGTTAAAATGTCCTATTTAAGTATAATTAGCATTTTCATAAATCATTTTTCAAATGCTCACAGATATAAGCAAGAAAAAGGACGTATTATTTTTATAATGATTAAGATAGGTTAAAATATTTTTTTGGTCAACTTTTTTTTGCGGGATCTCACATGACCCCCTGGAAGGTTTATTAAGGGCAGTCATATTTTAAGAAATATTGCCTCTGATTAACTTAATGCTAAGAACATTCTCCTGGTTCTACCGAGTTCCTCAACCAAAATTCGACGCAAATAGGCCATGCCGTATGATCAAACAAACAGCCAAACCAAGAAGCAGAGATTACTACTTTATAAATATATATTGATAACCCTACCTGCCGGCTGGGGAGGATGAAGCGGAATGTTTTAATCTCTCCTCCATTGCCACCAGGGGAGATTTCTCCTCCTGCTAAACAAATATATTTAAATCTTTTATATCAATAAATATTTTAGGGGTATCATTAAATATGGCGGTTTGGAAAATTCTGACCAGAATGGTAGCAGTAGTTGATCCAAGTATGGTTGGTTAAACTACTTCGCTTGTACTTTTTTCGGTGTAGTTAAATATCCGTATTAATTCAACTATTTCTCGCCATTCATTTATTCTGACCTTAGTCATTTTAAGAATAAATAATAAATATCTATTGTAAGTGTCCATCCAAATACGAGTATTTTAACATTTTTATTGGCAAAAGATAATTTCTAAAAATCTGAACCAAAAAAAAGCCGGCAAAACTTATTGATCCAGACCGGTGATCATTCCTATATTTAAATGTAAGCAAAGAAAATAGAACTAAGATTACACTTACGACAACTTAGGATGGCCACTTTATGATAAAATGACCCATAAATATTGATATCAATTTTGTTAAAAATACTACCTTCATATGTTCATGTCTGGCCATGAGTTGTTGTAGTGAAGTTGGGGGTAGACCAGGTATACCATGACCAGCCAGGGAGAGTAGCCCAGCAGCTGAGCTAGGGGGCAAACCAGGCATACCTGCCAGGGCAGGGGGGAGACCAGGGGCACCAGGGGGACCACCAGGTAGACCACCAGGTCCTCCAGCTGCTTGCTGAAAATATAAGAATATTAAACAATATAAAAAAAATAAAAAAATAAACGAAGTCGACTGAAAACCGACTAAGGAACAAATCTATAAATTTATATTGGAGAGAAACCCTGACCTCACTACACTTGTTCAACTTACATGAATAAGGTTTGGCCATAATTCAACACTCATAAATAACAGAAATATAATTAGTGTAATTATCAGCTTTACTTTATTTACTAATTAATATAAAAAATATCAAAAAGAAAATATTTTAAAGTAAAACATGTTTTCTTCAGGTTGAATTACTCTTTGGAGATTACCACATTTTAATCCCTTTTGTTCTATCCTTAAGAATGTCCCTCCGTTTTCCCTTTGCATTCTTTTCTATAAAAAAGTTTCATCCATTCCTTTCCAACCTCCTCCTATCCCCCCCCTTACTTAAACCCCTCTAGAAT